GAAAGAAAGAAAGAAAGAAAGAAAGAAAGAAAGAAAGAAAGAAAGAAGAAAGAGAGGAAGAGGGAGAGGAAGAAAAGGAGAAAAAAAGAGGAAGAGGAGGTCGTGGCCCAAACAGTTCATTGCTTTGAGCTGCTCCAAAGGAAGGCCAGCAGGGCCAGCAGGGCCAGCACCCATGAGGCCTTGCCCACATAAAGATTTGTATATGCTGGAGATAGCCCAGGGTCCTGGGCAGGGGTAGGAAAGAAGATCCTGTGCCCAGGCTGGCGAAGCAGGAACTAGTCTTTAGGGCCACCTATCCCCTTGTGTGGGCCTTACCGGCAGCTCCCAATGCAGGGTCTTAGCCCCTCTCAGCTGTGAAAATGCACTTCCTGGATGTCTTGGTAGCCTAGTGTGTAGGGCCACTGCCAAGACCCTTTCTAATACGTTGGGAAAGTAATGGGGCTGAAAGGCTCTTGCTTCAAGGCTCATCTCTACCAGTTCAGATCTGATGGCAGGAATTCATGCTACCGGCCTGGACAAACTAAAGCCTTGAGTTCCTCACGGAAACACTGGGTGGGATATGGGGTTAGAGACTACAGACAGCCAACCTCCCCAGGTAACTTGGAGCCTCCCTTTGCCTTTCCAGCCTTCCAGGGCCTCCTGGATTCAATGTCTTTCCTTGCCATCTCACTCTAGAGACTGACTTCAAAGCAGGGTATTCAGGGTAGTTTCGAGACCCCTCTGAACTCAACTTGTGACATCACAAAAGGAGTTCATGTCCACCACAGGCACTCTGTGGCTAGAGTGAGCTCAAGCTGATTGACTAAATGCTTTTAGTTAGAATGGAAGATCATCACCACCCACCCAAACACGTGCGCTCGCACGCGCGCACACACACACACACACACACACACACACACAACCTTATTCCCCTCTTAAGGAACGAGAGGCCTGGGTTCATCCACATCCTAGGTTCATGGGCTGCCTCTTTCTTCCTTGTGTCATCAGCCCCTCCCTGCCCTGGAAAGGATCATCCCCGTATATCTACCTCACAACCGAGACACGCAGTAACGTGCTCTGGGCAGGTGGAATGTCCAGAGACTACTGGTAGTTCTTTCATTATTGGACAGTATCTGCAGCGGATCTACGTAGGGAGAAGGCCAGCGGAGTTCAAGAAGATAGAGATTGCTCAACCCTCAAAACTTAGGAAATGTGAGGAGCCAAGAGCTCAAATATTATCTCTGCCTCCGCCCCCCTCCCCCCACCAAGACTCAGACCTCCCAGATCAGGCTCAGGATCTTTACAAAGACCCAACAACTCCTTTCTCTAAATTAATCACTTTCCAGTGGCTACCTGATCCTGACTAGAGTTCTCATGATCCTCCTCCTTTGGTACCCTTCAGCAAATCTTGTGTGCATCACCACAACCGGCCTGGCTGAACTTCTAACCCAGGGGACCCTACACCTATTTTTCACGGCATCTGAGGTGTAACTACTACCATGACCAGAACCATGGATTTACTATCATTCTGTGCTAATCCCCATTTTCCCTTTACAGCCCTCCTTTCCCATCCTGGTGCTTCCTCATAGCCATTTAGGGAGGTACCAACGCTGGGACCTTGGTTAATGTCTGTGGGAGCAATGAGCCTGAGGCATCCAATCCAGGCCTGCCAGTATGGCTTGGGCTACACCCCCCCCTTCATCAACAGCACCTTCCCAACCCCCAAAGCAAGACCCAGTTGGAAGACAGGATTTACAGCTCCCTGAAGTAGCCAAGGCCACACAGGTTAGCAAAGTACCCCTGGAACTGCTCTCTGCAGGCGTCTTTGCAAAATAACCCTCCACCCCAACCAAGATAAAACAAACAAACAAAAAGCCAAACAAACAAACCTATAGACAATTACTTCTTGAAAAAAATGGGGTTTATTGATTTTTAAACTGCAAATAGTCGTTACAAAAAGTTTTTTTTTCTTTTAAATAAATTCACACAAAGAAAAAGAGAAATAGAAAGCGACGGTAGTGACCAGCAAGAGGAATAATAATTACATTCATCTTTATGTGTGTGCGCCAGTTGTTTACATTTAACAATGGAAAACTCCAACCTGGAATCCAGAACCTCGAATCTGCGAGCGGAATGTCTTGAGATGGGCACATGGAAAAGGGCTTTCTGTTTTTCTGTTTTCCCTTTTAGAAGCTATACATAAATGGTGGTTTTCCTTCTGTACTGTCACAGAACTTGTACGTACATTCTCAGTCCTACCTGTGAAAGGCCTAAGGAGGAAGAAACTCAATTTGCAGTCCAACACAAAGGGGAGAATTTCTAAAATAAATAATCCAACAGTTTTTTGCATTTTTTTAAATTAATTTTTCATTTTTTTAAAATAAAATAACCAAAAAAGTGTAAAGTTACAAAAATGTTGTTGAAGAATAATATATTAAAACTGTGGAAAAAAGGAAAGACACGTCACAAAATTTTAAGATTAATATGAAGATCATAATTTAACATAAAAGAATATATTCTATGGATTTGTCATCCCGATAAATATGAACAAAATTAACAAAAAAAAGCATAGTTTGGCAATAAATACGTTTTGATAAGTTAAATAAGCTTTTTTATATTGATGTGCAGTGACAAGCAAACTTTTTGCTCTCCAATTTCTGAAAGTTAGATGAAGTTTAAACCCAGGGAAAAAAGCATGGCGTGAGGGCTCTAAGGTAGACCTAAGGTATTCTAGAGCAAAATCCATTAAAGCTACTTCTACAGGAAATCGTTTTACACAGATATTGTATGTGGAATGAATACCATTAACTGCTCACCCCTTGCGTCTTTTTTTAGCTTTTCTCTCATTTTGTCATTTTTAAGATGTCACATATGAACTGGGGAACTTTAGCACCAAAATCAAGTCTCTCATAGTCCATCTAGTTTCCCCTTCCTCCCCACTTAAAAAAGAAAAAAAAAAGAAAAGAAAAAAAAATTAAATCACAAAGTCCCACTTAATGTCAAAACCTTCGTCCAACTTGTTCCTTTCTCCCTGAAGACCTACACAAACCCAGGCAAGATTAGTCAACAGGGGTTCAGGCCGGGAAGAAAAAGGTTTTGAATGTCAAAATAGGTTTTCCCCCCAAAACCCAAGTCCAGCAACAATTCTCTGAGGGAGGCGGGCAGAAGTGTGCGGGAGACTGAAAGGAAGGTGCACTTGTGTGGCCAGCTGGGGGAGCTGCTGGTTTCGGTCACCCTCCCCCCCAACCCCATGGGCAGAGGCTCTGGGAGGCCCACGGGTGCCCCCTGGCGTTGAAGAGGTAATGTAGTCACAGTGACAAAGTTAGATTAAAAGGCACTAAGTTGCTTCTGTAAACGGTTACTGCTTTTTTTTTTCTTTTGTGATTTGGCACTTAAGGCTTAAGCCAAAAAAAAAAAAAAAAAAAAGGCATCTACTGACAAATACGGGACTCTGTTATGCGTGGTTAAGTGGGCTATGAAATGGAGGGAGGGGTTTCAAGCCAGAAGCTACTGACAAATTGACTTGTCCTTATGTTGGGGAGGGGGCCGTGTGTGTAACATACCAAGGTTCTGGGGAAGGGGTTGAGCTTAAATGTATCAATGTAGGGGTTTGAGGAAAGGTTAGGGGGTGGGGAGGTGGAGGTACGGGATGGGGAGCAGGATGGAGAGGTGGAGGAGGAGGTAGGGGGGCCCTCCCTACCCTGGCTTAGTCATCTGAGATGGAGAGTCTGCTGAAAATGGGCAGGCGTCTTGAGTTGTCCAAGGTAGGGGAGTCTGAGCCACTGTGGCTGCTGCTGGAGCTGCTCAGGTAGCCCTCCTGGTCCGAGAGAGAATCCTGAGGGCTGGGGGGAGAGTCAAACATGTGAGGGGACTCGGACATGGGCCGGAAGAGGAAGGTGGTGGGGGAGCCTCCCCCGGGCAGCCCCATGCTAGGAGCAAAGAGGCTCGCCAGCTCCTGGCTGGAAAAGGCGAAGGGGTTATTGGTGCCATCGGGCAGGGTAGGTGAGCCCAGGAGGTCATCGGCGCTCAGGATGGGGGGTGGGGTGATGGACGTGGGGCTGTCCAGCAGCCCCGTGGCGGCGGCGGTGGCGGCGGCACTGGGAAACCCAGCAAAGCTAAAGCTATGCTGGAGGCGGGGACGGTCGGCGGAGAGGTCCCGTCCCCCGGCCAGGGCGCGGCGCTCCTCGGCGTTGTGGATGAAGTGGCATCGGGGCCCGTACGGGCAAAAGCCGATGGTGTGGAAGGTGCGGCACAGCTCCGTCTTGTACTTGGGGTGGCGGGTCAGGCTGCGGAGCTCGTGGATGCCGTGCGCGAACTGGCACTTGTCTCCGTACTTACAGGCACCGTTTTCTTCGAAGGGGCGGCACAGCTCCGTCTTGTAGCGGCTGGAGTTGACCTGGCCGCCCCCAGGCTGCTTCTGGGTGGGCAGCAGCCGCTCGCCCCCTTCGGAGAAAGAGCGGTCTCGAAAGCGGCTGTCGCGGGAACTCAGGGACGGGGCCGGCTCCCCCTTAAGACTGCTGAGAAGCTGGTTCTGATGGAACTTGGAGCTGGGCAGAGTGACCGAGTGCCTCCGAGGGAAGCCCCCACCAGCAGGGGTGCCCACTGCCTTCCTGTCCAGCAGGCAGCCCCCAGCACTGGGAGTGCTGTAGTTGAGCATCTTGTTACCCTGAGGGGAGGGGGGGAAAAAAAAGGACCGGTGAGTGACTGAGAACACCCACGAGGCCAAGGCATGCTGTCCACACAAGTGTCCCTCCATCAGATAGGCCTGTCTCTCCCTAAAAGGGGCCATCTGGGTTTATTTTGGCACTGCTCATAAGAAACCACAAAATCCTGCCCTGTGTGGAAAAAAAAAATTAATGTATGCCCCCTGATCCATGCTGACCCCTGATATGCGGCTTCCATATCCTCTTGTCCCTCAAGCTCATTAATTCTTCCCTTCACAATCCAAGTCCTCAACACAAGGCAGTCCCTCTGTAATTTCCCTCCCCCTAACAGAACCAGGTAAACCTGGTTTAGAAGTTTAGACGACTAAATCAAACAGGAGCCAAATCCTCTCTCAATCAGGCCCTGCTAGCCCCCTCCCCCACAATCCGGCCCCAAACTCTCCACTTCCTCTTCCACAAGAGTACCCTTCCTCTAGCAACAGGTTTTCAAAGTGCACTTTTTCCCTTGCTTGCGGAAGGACCTAGTCTGGGGTGTGGGGAGAGGGCTAGTGTCTGAAAACACAAGTGAACGGCCCCAAGCTTGTGGAAGAGTAACCCCTAAAGCCTGGGAAGGATTTCTCCCAGCATTCCCCAACCCCCCTTCACCGGGAGGATGCCTTTGCACTTGGTCTCCTGGCTGCAAGAGAGGTCTGGATAAGAGCACCAGTGTTTAATCTTGAACCAAAGCTGCAGATGGAAAAGAAAGTATCGGTTCGGCCCGCCCCCACCCCCCACCTCGAAAGCCAATTGTGGGGGGGGGCGAGCAAGGACACAGAGCTGCCACAAGCTCTAGTCACCTGCCCAAAGTACCTAAGATTTAGAAAGGGTGGGGTGAGAGACTTTTGAAAAGTTCTCTCCAGGCCCCTGACACATGTGGGTGTCATTGTGCAGATTCTAAAGTTAGTCCCTCAGGATCAGCAGCCGGGGATCGGGAATCGGTAACCGCAACCACCCCACCGAGCGGATTACAGGAACCCGGAGGAGAGCCGGTTCCCAACAATGAGGTTCATTTAAAAAGTCCTGCGGGGGGGAGGGGGCAAGAGAAAGAGAAACACATCAAAGAGCGGGCAGCAGGGAAGAGAAGGATGGAGTTGCCCAGGAGCGCAGGCAACCGCCAAGGCAAATAGACTTGGAAAAACGCAGGGAGGGAAAAGAAGCTGAAAATCCCAAACGTTATTGATGTTGCTCTTCAGCTCCGGCACGGCCCTACACCCCAACCCTGCAGCCCCGGGGCCTTGGCAGCTGCACCGACAGGAGCGGCAAGCTAGAAGAGAGCAACATGACCCGACGTGTTTAAGGGAAGGCAAAAACAGTTCAGCAATTAAAAGTAGCCCAGCAGCTTCATCCTTTCAAATTGGGGGTGGGGGGGAGGGTTGGGAGAGGTAGAGTGGGGGAAAAAAAAGAATCTACAACATCCACGGAATTGTACATTTCTCCCGCACTCCCGGAACACACCCAGCTTTAAAACTTGTTTTTTTGGAAACCCGACTGGCAAACTACCCCACCATTTAAGGAGGCCCTCTTAAATCCTGACTGGCGGGAACTTGAGTTCTGGCAGCATTTGGCTCCCCTGTTCCTCGGTCAACGAGCCGTAGTGCCTCCCGGCCCAGGTAAGCAGCCACTTTCGGCCCTAGAGCGCGCAGCCTGACCCACCAGCTCCCGCGGAGGAAGCCTAGCCCAGCCAGGGCGGGCGCAAACTCCGCTACAGAAGTCGCCTGCCCAAACCGGCCTTTGCCTTCGCCGCATTCTCGCTCAGGTCCCCAAGGCAGGAAAGAAAACTCTCCCAGCCGAACACCGTCCTGGGACTAAGCTTCCCCTACGAAACAGTCTAGCAAAGTTGTCGGGGAGCTTCGAACCCAGAGCGCACACCGGGAAGCCGAGCCCCCCACCCCGGGGGGGGACAAACCCCAGCTCGTGGCACACCACGCAGGAAAAAATCCTTCAGGAAATCCGCCCCAATCCTTGCCCCCCCACCCCCCCCCCGCCCGCACCCCTTGGCCCGCAAACTTGAGCAGTCGCCCCGAGCCCTGCTCCCCGAATTCGCACAGCACCCCACCTGGGACTGGAAAACTCTGGGAGAGGGGAGACACGGCCGGATTCCTTCGCCGTGGAGAAAAGGCCTTCGCCTCCCTCCCTCCCTCCCTCCCTCCCTCCCTCCCTCCCTCCACGCCGTCTCCCCAGACCCGAACTTTTAATTCCCATCAACTTTCTCAGGGTTCCTTTAAAGCACGAGAGAAACTTTCCGAAGCGCCAACCGCCCCGCCCTCCTTTACCTTGCATAAAACTTCGCTCAAGTCGAAGATGGTGGCGGACACGAGAGTGGTGGTCATCGTGGGCGTTCGCACGGGGCGAGGGCGAGATTCCGATGCGTCGCGAAGGTCCCGGTGCGGGGAAGGCGCAGCCTCCGGCTCTCCGGTCAGGAGTCCCACACGCCTGCTCCCGGCGCCCCTCGCCTTTCCGACTCTCCCGGGCTGCGGCGCGCAGAGCCCGATTTATAAGGTTGGGGGGGTGGGGGGCGGGGGGGAGGAGCTTTAAACTTATTTAAATGAAGAAGAGGAGGCGGAAAAAAAAAAAAAAGAGAGTTGATTGACACTGAGGTTGAATCAGCCATGCGGTCAAGCGGGAGGGAGGGAGGAGGGGGGAGAAGGGGGGAGGAAACAAACTTTCAAAAGGAAGAAGGGGGGGAAGGGAGACTAGGAAAGAAGGCGGAAAAAAAAAACCGCTCGGAGCGGCGCAGAACTTTTTTTTTTTTTTTTTTTTTTCTTAAAGAGGAAAAGTTTCTGGTCCGCGGGCTCCGCTCCCCCGGGCTCTCGGGGCGCCCCTCCCTTCGGCCGGGCGGGGCGGGGGGGGAGGGGCACCCACCCCTTTGTCAGCCTCGCTGCACGGCTCTGTGACATCACTCCTTCCACCCCCTTCGGAGTTCTGGTTGTTGTGTTTTGTTGTTGGTTTTGTCTTTTTTTTTTTTTTTTCTTTCGGGCAGGAAGGCGGGCTCGACTTTCTCTCTCTCTCTCTCTCTCTTCCCCCCTTTGCTGAGGCTGGTCCTGAGCGGGCCGGGGCTGCGGTTTCCATCTTGAGCTGGTGTCTCTTGAACCCTCTCCAGGCGCCCGCACGGCGTACCTTTCCCTGACTTTCCTGTCCACACCCCGTCTGCCCACCGCCAAACGAGCCGGGCGAGGAGTTTAGGAATCCGGAGCACCCCCGAACGTCCGAGCCGAGACTTTTTGATGCTTGTTCCCCACCAGTGGGCAGAAGGGAGTGAGGGCGACCAGGGAAACTTTTTTTAATTTTATTTTTTCCCCTCCGGGAGAGGCGGCCGGCCTGGCGGGGGCGAGCGCAGCCAGGGCGCGCGTGTGCACGCGTGCTGGGCCGGCCGCCGGCGCTCTCCTGGTAGCGTGGGGGCCTCGCCAAGAAGACCACTGTCCCGGGCAGGCGTCTCCTCCACACGTCCGACCTTTCAACTCCACGCCAACAAGTGATCCAGACCTCCAGGGGCGCCCCTTTCCTCGGGCTCACAAAAAATAAAATAAAAAGAGCAAACGACTCACTCTCCACGCGCGCTCCGGGTTCGGTCTTAACCTCCTCCGCACACGCCCCGAAGGTCAAAAACAAGGGGGGGGGGTGTGAAAAGAAGTGACTTCGGTGGGAAGGGAGGTGGGGGAGGCGACCCTTGACTTCTCGCCGCCCGCCCGGGAAGCCCTCCGCTCGGTGTTTATTTACTCCGAGGCTTGGCCGCCTCCTACCCGCACCGGCTCGCGTGCTGGAGTGGAGACCCGGGCGGAAATCGCGGGCCGCGCAGCCCGGGGCCTCGCACGTTTTTCCCCGGCCCTCGAGGCCGCCGGCTCTGTTACGAAACCCGGTGAGCCGAGCGGCCGCGAGCGAGTTCCATTGCGATGTAATTAGGTCACCCCATTACGGGGACGTTTCTCTGGAAGGGACGGAGCGGGCGGAGCGGAGCGTTCGAGCCGCACCCCCCCCCCCCCTCCCCCCCCCCCCACTTCCTTTTTTTTTTTTTTCCTTTCAAACTGCAATTTATTTATCGCCAACCTCTGGGTAAGCCCAGGGAAACCTTCCAAATCACAACTTGTTTTAGAAACAAGTTTTTGGTGTTTTTTTTTTTTTCAACTTTGCGAAACACACGACTTCTGCTGCAGCCCACGAACCTAACGCAATTCCCTGCGGGGTCTCCGCCTGACTCAAAAGTCTTCGGTGACTCGACGGTCCCCATTTCTAACCCGCCTGCTGCCCCGGGTTTTGCTGCTGCTCCTGTCCGGCCGCCGGCTGCTTCCCTCCCCCGCTCCCACTTTTTTTTTATTATTATTATTTTTATTTTATTTTTTTCATCTTTTTCTTGAAATCTGGCAAGCGCCGGGAAGGGAAATAACTTCCATCCACCTTAATTTAAATCACTCGGGCTGTGGAGGTTTCTTTTTAAAGGGATGTTTGCTCGTTCCCCTCCCCAGCTCCAAGGGGGTTGGTGTGTGTGTGTGTGTGTGTGCGCGCGCGCGCGGATTTCGTGCAGTTTCTCGGGGGATGAGGTAATGAGTTCCAGATTTCGGGACGGGGCAGGGTGCGTTAAAACCACAAGGTTAGCCTGGGCCCTGATGTGAAGCTATTTCGGCTTTTCATTCCGCACCACCCGCCGCCCCGGCTGGTCTCAACTCCCGAAGTGTTTGCACAGCTCAGCTGGAGGGACCGGGGCCGGGGTGGGGCGGCCTCCCCGGGGTGGTGCTGTCCCCTCGGAGGCCACCGAGCGGCCTCGGACACCCCGAGCCGCCCAAATCATTCTCGCTCTCTCTCTCAAAGCAAAAGGCGATTCCTCGAATTTCCTAGGCCTCCCCTCTCCCGCTCCCCGGGGGCGCGGGCTCCGCGCTTGTTTACCCGCCCCGCCGACCTCCCGGGTTTGTTCCTGCTCCCAGAGCCCGTCTCTATAATTAAACTCTTTTCTTTTTTCTAATTGTCGGGTTGCAACGTCACTTAGGGGACTTTCCAGGGGATGGGGGGGGGGGGGGGGGGGGGGGGGGGGGGGGGGGGCGCGCCTTAACCCTTCGCTGACCCTCGCGTCGGGGACACACGCGGCCCGAGCGGTGGCCAGGGACCCACAGGTGGGCGGCAGGGACCCCGGCCGGCCCCGGCCGCGCCGCGAGGCTCGGGGGGAAGCGAGCCGAGGCCTCCCGCACGCCCGACCGCCCGTGCCGCCGCCACCTGCGCCGCCGCTTCCGCCCGGGGGGGCGCGGCTCTGCCTCCGACTTCCGGTTCGCGCGCCCCGGCCGCGCAGGTATTTGGGTTTCGGGGAGGGGGGGAGGCGGGGCCGCGAGGTTTTGAGACCCGGGAAAGTGAAAGTCCTCGGAAGCCTGGGGGTTGGGGGTGCCGTGTGCGTCCGCTGAGCCGAGCCGGTCGGCCTTGCTGAGGGGCTACCGCGGCGCGGGGTCCCGGACCCCCGGGGGGTCAGGGGGGATCGGTCCGCGGCGCCAGGCGACGCCTCTCAGCGCCCGGAGGGGTTGCGTTTCCCTCCAGGTCATTTGCGAAATCCAACCCTTCCTTGTGCTTTTTGCTACCTGAGACCTGGGGGTGGCCCTCGATGTCCCCGAGTTAAAGGCAGAGCTGGCCCGAGTGAAGCCCTGAAGCCGCCCGGCTTACCCGTCGGGTTTGTGGACTCCACGGGGGCGCAGTGATCCAGATCCCCTAAGGAAGAATCCTTCCTTAGAGCTGCACTTCACCCCTCGCCCCCCCACCCCCACACCGTGGGTCCAAGACATTGACGTTGAGCAGTTCAGGGTTCAAATCTTGGATTCTGTCTTTTCTAGCTGTGATTTGTCTTCTTTTATGATTATTATTATTATTATTGGCATAAGGTCTTGCTGTGTTGCCTAGGCTGGCCCGAAACGTGTGTGCTCAAGTGAGCCTGAGGAAGAGCAGAGTGGGTTAGGATGTAGTATGGGAACTTGTGTAACTGTTCTGAATATCCTGATTATTGCCGCAATTACTGCAAACAGTAGACCGGGGGTCTTAGAATACAGGTGGGAACCGGTCTCCCGTGTCTCCCAAGTCCTAGGCACCTCAAAGCACTTAGGGGACATCACTCATCTGTCATGTCCCCCAGAATCAGACTGCTTCCCTCAGGAGCGATCAGTCCAGATTCTACTATAAGTGAGGCATTGCCTGGGTTCTGAGTCTTTAGGTAAAGATACATCTCAGGATGACTGAGAGTCCAACCCTGGTTCGGGCAGAGAGAAAACATGTATTTACTTATTTGTTTGTTTATCACATTTGCTTATGTTTTTCAAGACGGTTTTTCTGTATAGCACTGGTTGTCCTGGACTGGCTTTGTAGACCTGGCTGGCCTTGCTCACATAGATCTGCCCGCCTCTGCCTTCCATTTGCTGGGATCAATGGCCTGGAGTCATCTTTCTAGCTCTTTAAGTGGTGTGTTTAAAACTCCATTCTTAGGCTAATTGTTTCAGCTCTCTGAAGAGAAGCTGGAAGCACTTCAACTACTTCTTTTGGTTTTACCCATTTGCCTGGGCCTAACGACAAACCCCTGGTCCAGTGCCATCCACAGACCTTGACTTTTTGCATGTCACTTCCACACCCCCGGGGCACTCTATAGTGTTCTTATTTAAAGGAAAATAAGTCCTCTTCCTCCTGCCCCTGGGCCTTTGCACATGCAAATCCTGTCTGAGGTCACTGACCAAAAAAAAAAAAAAAATTTTTGGACAGGGTCTTTCCTTGTAGCTCTGGCTGTTTTGGAATTTACTGTGTAGGTAGACCAGGCTGCTTCAAACTCAGACATGCTTCTGCCTCTGCCTCTGCCTCTGCCTCTCAAGCGCTGGGATTAAAAGGATATTCCACCACACCTGCCTAAATTGTTTTTCATTTCTCAGACAGTTTCACATAGCCCAGACTGGCCTCAAACTCAATTTATAGTTGAGGATGACCTTTGAATTCCAATTCCGGTGCAAGGATTATGCCCAAGAAAGTTCCTAATCATCATTTTGAACCTGGCTAGCTCAAGCACACTTCCAATGGAAAACATCCTTGGCTGCACGTCTACCTCACCAGCACAAAGTGTCTTCTTGTGTTCATGGAATGTTTCCTTGTGTACTTTCAGTTCGTTAGCTCACAGTCCTTCGTACAGCTCTGTTTTGCTTTTTAACATACAATAAAATTGATCTTTATTTGGTTTACATATCTGTCAATGTTAAGAATAAATTTACCTGAAGAATAGATTGATGTAGTGGCTACCACAGGCAGGTAGTTCCATCACCCCTCAAAAGGCTACCTAGTAGTGTCCTTTGGTGGTCACAACCTTGCTCCATCCTTACTCCCTGCAACCACTGAGACGTTATCAATCCCTGTAATAGTGTCTTTTCTAGAATGCCATATAAATAAACCTAGGCAATATATACTTCCCAACATAATAACTTTAAGATTTATACATGTTGCATATATTGAGAGCTCATTCCCTGCTATTGATAAATAGC